GACGATATATCTTTCAAAAAATTTTGACATAATTGTAATTTACATTTATTTTGTAAATTATATATTTATATATATGTATATGTACATATACATATTTAAAAATTATGTTGTATCGAAGTAAATTTTGTAATTTTAACTTTTTCATGTATAATTATCTAGTTGTATGATATACAAAAGAATGTAAATACTACTTCAAATGAATTAATTTTTATTAATCTGCATACAAAATAATGTCCGCAATTTTTTCAATAGCAGCAAATGTGATAAAAGTTCTTCCGCCGGTTACATATCACTATTGTTTAAAATATCACAAAAATATTCAGAAAAATTCTTAATGAGATACGCACATTATGTATTTTCCCTTATTTATAAGTACTAAATAAGTCGAGACGCGCACTAAGGTGATCAATTTTAAAGCAGGAACACGTTTCACATATTTTAACTTGTAGCCCGTAATTGTACAATCGCAATTCGTAAAATTCTAATTAACATTATACAAATATATAAAGACATATATATAAAGATCAGAAAAAGATATATCTATACAAACATACTACGTCATAATTTGAACAATCATTGCTACCTGTATGATCACTGACAATAAGATAACTGAATTTCTGTAAATAATTTGTTTACGGGCAGTGCTCTGCATTAGTGTATGTACTTCTCTTTTAAAAATTATTATGTCATATTGTACGAAGCTCGCAAAAAGTTCAACTTCGATACATCATGACTAGACAATTGCAATATCACATGTAACAAGCAATTATAACAATAGTTTAATTGTGTAACTATTCTATGAAGTAAAAATAGTTTCTCATAAAAATTTTGTTGCAAAATTTGCCAGATTAATCACATTGAACAATTATTATACAAGATATATATGCATTTTCAAGTTTGATGATTTAAGGCGTTATTATAAATAGCAATATATATACGTATATTTTATAAAATTACCTGATTACTTGTGTCTTTTGGTAGTCTCATAAAATAAAATAATTTTATAAAATTTTTCGATATTGATTTGTCTATTTGAATTTACTGTTTCTTAAAATAGTGACGTTATTATATTAAATATAAATTGTTATTATCACGATGGTCGGACTTTGATCTTGCTCAATTTCAAATAAGTTATTATCTAAGAATGAGCAAACCAAAATTTCCGAAGGAATGCTGTGATTTCTATATAGATAAAAATACATCTTTTTAAAATCTTTTCTTGAAAATGATTTAAAATTTGAAATATTATGCCTATAATATAGGTAATAACAATATATCATACTATTGATGATGTAATTGTGTACATAATAAATTATACATATGAAATACGTATATATATATATATA